CCTTGAATGAAGGTGGGTGCACTTGCGGGAAAGCTCCTTGTCGAGGGCCTTTACATCCTTGGAGATTAAGTCGGACTTTTTAATCTAGACACTCCGATGCCAATCAAAATATATATATATATATATATATATTTAGCAAAGTTGGATATGAAATTAGATTGCGAACTCAAAAGAACGGCTTGGTCAAATGATAAAGTTTGTCCTTAGCCTTGTGGAGCGGGTTTGAGTCACAAAAACAGTAGTTTCGAAAACTGGGTTAAAGTTGCGTACATCTTGCCCTCCTCAAACTATGCTAAGGCTAAGTTTGTTTTCTTGCTAGTTAGTTTTCTTTTGTTTTCCTAGTTTGTTTCTCTTAATCCATTTGATTCAATATTACTTTTTTCTTTATTCACTTGGACTATATAAATTGGTATTTAGACAACAATATAAAATTTACAATAAAATAGGCCAAAAATACAAAATGAGACTTACAAATTGGATCGGATAGGATCAGATTCGGATCGGATTCCACGATCCTATAAGATCCAATTACTAGGTTTGTAAGATCCTACTGTAAGTGATTTTTTACAAGATCTGAATCCTATAAAAATGATGTTAAGCTTTTAAGACTTTCATGTTCTCTTATTAAATCCACAACATTTCTTGTAAGGTCATTATATTTTTTATCCTGCAAATCTTTGAAAAGTTTTTTTCTTTTAACAAACTTCAATGTATTACCTTGTCAATTTTTGATTTGATTTTTATTTTTTTTGATGTCCTTTTTCTACTAATTTTTGTTTGGTTTCTAAGATAATTAATGAAACTAGAAAGACTTAAAGGTGCAAGATTTTTCCTCTTTCTTTTTGTGTTTTTGTTTTTAAATTTGAATTATTTTATAAAAAAATTGTCAATAGTTTTATGCGCCACTTTTTCACTAGTTTCTTTATCTATGATCCTACACATATATGTTAATACATACATTTAATAAACGCTTTAATGGCCGTGTATATATTTTCACATTAAACACACTTAATGTCATTTTATATTTTCACATTAGACACTCTCACTCTCGCACCATCTCAAATAATTAGCTACTTATCGACCCAGTAGGCTCGTAGAGAGTAGTGCTGGACTTTCTCTCTCATATTTCCCTATGCCCTTCCAATGACTTTTGGCAGTCCTTGTGAAGAGGTGTGAGACGTTCTCACTCTAGAGATTCTTGCACCTCTCCAACAACTTTTTCGACGCTTTTTCAATAAGCTCCATAACATTTCTATCGTGTAGATCTAGGTTTTTTATGCATACACATAAGAGTTTAAGAGCTTCTCTCTAATTTTGACATAGAGAGTGCTTTCTCCCTCTATTGTTAATTAGATTTTTGGTTATCAGCACCCACAATAGTACTCATTACTATTGTGGTGTTCTTTGAGAAGCGTTTTCTCCCAATCTGATGGCTCCAAGGAATTGTTAGCACCTAGGAGGTTTCGATCCTTAAACCTTAGAAGGAGCACACTCCCAAGACCCAAGGACTTACCATTAGGCCAACCTCTTGGGGTTAAAGTTAAATATTTTTCTTTCACTTTTTATGCATTATTGTAAATTGCAAAGTGTTCTATTACAAAATTCTTCTTTTTCACCTTTTTTGATGAAATGCAAAACTTTTAATATCGAGTTTTCCATCATATAATATTATATTTACATTTTACATGGAGTTCTATTAGTTTTAGTATAATTTAGGCTTATTTGTGTATATTTTTTAAGAAATATTTATTTAAATTAAATTATTATGTAATTTGTCAATTTCAGCAAGATCTTATGATCTTCGATTTGATTCTATGATCCGATCAAGTAAACTCATCCAATGATCCAATGTAGGATACCGATTTTAATAACCTTGGGTGCAACTTTTTGAATTGAGTTGCATTGTAACAAGTAAATATTCAATAACGTTAGAAAACCCCCTCAACCCTTGGTGGCAGAAGAAGGCCATTCCTTACCTACCAAACGCTGTAACTCTTGGTTGCAGTTGTACAGTGCAGTAACACTGTGACTGAGGGCATTTTGGGAAGTGAAAAAGTAGAAAACACTCAGTTTCAATTTATCTCCGATCATTATTTGTTCTTATTATTGTTATTTAAACAGCCATAAACACAATTGTTGGTTGCTAGGTTACCTGAAACCATACTTCTCTGTTGAGAGTTGTTGAGGAGATTCATTTTATTTCAGGAGAACTATAGAAATAGCAACACCATCTTACAAAATCTATTGTTTTGGATATATTAACATGAACCCAATTACAAAATAAGAAAGAAATCTCTCCTATATGGGAAGTAAACCACGGATGGATTTATGCACGTCAATTGCATGTCAGCCTTAATCGACCAATCAAAACATAATGAATTATGATGTTTCCTGAGGCCAACGTCAAAACCGTGAAGTGAAACGAGTAAATCAAGACCTCTTCGGTGATCAGATCAAAGGATGATACTTGAATTAACGCATCACAATGGCCAAAATAGGATTCGTAAGGCTCACAGGGATGCAATAGTACTGCAGGCCGTCGAAATAAACAATGGATGAACTAAAATGTGAAAATGTAAGATGCTGACTATCATAATTGAAAGTTAAGAGACTAAAATGAGATTTCGATCAAAGTACGACCCTAAACACACCAAAACTTACCGCTAGCAGAAATTGGCAATTGAACTTTAGCTCCTACTGTAAGATGCTATTTCAAGGACTACAACCTATTTTTTTGGACCTTTTTTTTTATTCTATTTTTTTTATAATCAATTTGCAGCACTAAAAATTAAGATTCAATATTCAGGTTTCTCAAACTGGATCGACCATATTCAATTTCTGGAGCTAAATATCATCCAATTGATCTTTGAAATTTTCCAATAAAAAACAAACTAAAAACTCAAACAACACAAACATAGACCAAATTAATAGACTCAATCATATACGTCCCCATGTGAATGCATCAGGTTTACCAGATTCCAAACCTCACTAAGCAAAGAGACCAAGTTGAGCCTTCCAAACTTGAACACGGTTTTTAAATCACAATTGCATGTTAAATCAAATTATACCAACGTAGTTTTTGTGCTTCTCTCTTTTTATATTCTTTTAATCTTTCTTTTTTTTAATAATTGTTATTTACACAGTTCTGAACACAATTATTGGCTCCTATGTAAACAAACACCTTACATCTCTTGATTTGTTAAGGAAATTCATTTTATTCTGGAAGAACTAGTGAGGCAGCATGGATGTACAAGATCTTTTTCATAATTTTTTACTTATTTGCTAGAAACATTTTACAAAAAAAGAAACCTAGTCTCTCTCCCGTCCTCACAAGAAGGCACTACTAATAATTAATGACAGTTGCAAACAACAGATTGTTTCAATATATTCTACTCCTTCCTAGAGCATTTAAAACCATTCCACCCAACTACATCATAACTAGGAGATTAAAACCAGGAAGTGAATGAGTTTCACACACCCTCTTTGGTAATCAGAACAATCTAAATGATACTTGAGTGAATGAATTACCGTGGTCAAAACAGGGCTCACATATAAAGCAACAAAATTGATAATTCAGCCTTAATTGATGAATGAAGAATCTAAATATCAAAAGATGATAGTAGCATAGCATCACAGACCAAGAAACTAACAATAACAAATACTTATATAAATATAGAAAAGTTTATTGATGGACGTACCATCTGCTGAAGAAAGAAGTAGAAACATGTAGGACAATGATCAAACAGGTTTGCCAAGAATAAAAACCTAACAAGTAGTATTACACCAACTTGCTCCCCAATGAACAGTATCTTCTGTTGATAAATCATGAAGCTCCTTCAATGTCTTGGACATGACATTATAAGAAATAACTTTGCCCCGGATAGCTAACACCAGTGTAAAATCTTTTTCATTCGCTCCCTTCACGGCACAGAGCACATTAAATTCAGAGCATGTGTCTATGGTTTTGCGTTCTGTCTTAGGAAATATAGATAAAATGGGTCTAAGATTAACCCGGTACTTCACAATCCACTCACAGTAATCCCTGTGCATCTGAAGGATTCTGAATCCCATAGCACAACGCTGAGGAGCCTGAATAAGAATCAAATCGCCACCACATTCTCCAAAATACCTGAACTTATCAAGAGAAAGGATTTTAGGGTTTCGAGGCCATGGGGTTTGTATCAATTTCTCTTCCTCAACGTCAAATCGAGCATGAACATTCGTAGAGCTTATACCCTGAATTGCTCCGTTCCAAAACACGCTGAACTTGAATGGCACAGCTCGCGGTTCAGGCACAGAAACGTGTTTCCAAGACGCAGTCTGCGAACTGTAAATTTCAATTTCAACCCAGTGTTCATTATTAACATAACTGTAACTAAACAATAAAACTTTATAGTGAGGCGATTTCGCAGGATCAAAAGCCAAGAAAGCAGCAGTATTTTTACGATACGATTCAGATGAAGTGGGACCAATAGCAGGAAGAAGTGAGAATTTCTTTGTGGTGAGATTACAAACAATATATGGATGTTTTCTGAAACCATTAGAGCACAAGATTAAACCATTGCAAGAGCGTTCAATCGTAGTTGCAGAACTTGATACAACGACACCATCGAGAAAGGAGAGTGTGGGAAGAAGAGCTTGGTGTCCAGCAATTGATACAGACTGTAGTTGTTCATCGGGAGACCAACGGTTTGAGTAGAAATATAAGGCTGAGACGGAGGAGTGGTGATTTCGGCGAGCGTGGTCGGAGGCGAATTGGGAGTGGGAGATGAGAGAGAGCCATTGCTTTGAGACCAACTTGAATCTGATTAGGGATTTTGCTGGGACTCGGATTAGGATCTCTGTTAGGAGATCTGAATTGTTGGCAATTAATTCAGCAGCGAATGAATGTTCCAAGGAAGTACAACCGATGATAAGCTTTCTTCTACTTTTTCTTGTTTTGCTGTATACTTTCATGGTTCAATTTTGACTCTGCAAGAATAGAGAATGCCCTGTAAGGAACGACTTTTATAAACAATCTTTGTTGGGGATGGCGTTAATTTAAAGGACCTCTTTGGGTTGGGACTACCAATTTACATCAATCAACATCTCCTCTCTATTTTTTCTATACATAATACAAAAAAAGTCAAAAAGTGCACTTATTTAGTCTTCCCAAACTAGGCCTTAGGTTCACACTTTTTCTTTTTTATTTTTCTTTTGGAGGAAGTTCATTATTAGAATCATATAAATATTGTGGGGACATATTTTTATAGTCGTATCACGTGGTTGAGGTATCACGTGGGTGAGCTATGATGTCAAGATTATTGTGTTATTGTCAAGATATGATGCAGTAATGTAGAAATTTGAATAAAGGACAAGAGTCGTAAATGGTATCAAGCTATCTATTTTGATAGAGATGTGATTCTTGAGGAAGTTTATCTTAATCTTAATAGTGTGAGTTGTAATAGATGTTATTCTTATAAAAGATAGAGTCTCATGAAATAAGACTTTTAAGAAACATTGAACACGGATCATTACAAAAGTGAGGCATCCTGTAGGTCTAAGGTATGTTCTGACTTATGTATTGAGTACTTGTTTGATATCTCTGAGAGATAAGTTGAATGACTTGATCGTTAGAGTGTCCACGGGTAGACGAACCACCGCGATATTCTCATCTTCTTGTTGACAAGTGGTTGGCTTAATCTATTTTGTCGCGTGCTCTCCAGTTTAGTTCTCTGTTTGGTTGTGTGGTCGGAAATCATCACCCACAAATATATACAGTGAATTACACTAACGGACTTTATAGTTTCGTATTTGTATTATTTTGATCTCTAACTTTTCAATTGTGATATATTTGACCTTAAATTTTTAATCTTGTTTCAAATAAGGACAATTGAAGATAACATTGGATTTTTCAATGACAAAATCGTCAATTTGATAAAATATAAATTAATTCGACAAATAAATGTCAAAAAAATATTTTTTAATTTTTAAAAATTATTTCTACCCACTAAAGATAAAATTATGTAAAATTGATTAATCTTTTAGGCATTTATTTTTTTCGAAATTAATTTTTATTATGCGTTTGGATAATAATTATGTAATGGGTGGTTGTTTTTGTTTTCATTAAATTAGTTTCTATTTTTTCCAAAAGTCAAATATGGCGACAACTTTGATATCATTATTAAATCAATCCATTAAATCAAAAATTGAAAACATTTCATATATTAAATATATCAATGACATATTAAAAACTTAACAACTATCCATTACATGATCATCATCCAAACATATAATAAAAATTAGTTTGGTAAAATAAATAAATAAATAAATGTCTAAAATATTTATCAATTTTATATGATTCAGCTTTCTTGGTTGTATTTTTCCAAAAACACTTTTCAAAAAATTCTACTTTCTTATTTTTCGTATTTTTTTTTGTTTTTACTAAATTTTTTTAATATTTTAAGCAATTTTTTTTCTTTTTAGACACACCTAACATAAATACACATACAAATTAAAAAAATTGTAAAAAAATCATTTAAAAATTTACCAAATACCAAAAATAAAAAAAAGATACAAGAATTCAATATATTTTTTGGTATTTTTAGGTATTTATTAATTTTTTAAAATATTTTTTCACAAATTTTTTACTTTTTAGATACATCTAAGTAAGGTGCATCAAAAAAAAAATGTTTAAAATTTTAAAAATATTCACCAAAAACAAAAAAAACACGAAAACCAAAAAACTCAGTTTTCAAAAAACTTAATCCAGAAAATTCAAACCAAACACATTGAATAATTTTTAAAAATTTAAAAATATTTTTTTATCTTTTATTTTTGTCAAATTAGTTTATATTTTATCAAATTGATATTTTTGCCCTTAAAATTAAGTAATGGTATCCTCAATTGTCCTTATTTGAAACAAGATTCAAAATTTAAAGTCAAATGTGTCACAATTGAAAAGTTAGTGACTAAAATGACATGAGCCCGAAAACTATAGGGACTGCTAGTATAATTTTCCCAAATATAAATTATTCATGAAAATTCCTTTGGTAGGTTGGGTTGGGTTGGGAGGTTAAAAGATTAAAATAGTCATAAACCAAACCAAACCAAACCAAACCAAGCCTTAAGTCCCATCAAATGGGGTCGGCTACATGAATCCTTCTTCTCCACGTGGCCCTATCAAAGGCCATTTCATTAGTCAAATTAAGTAGATTCATATCTCTATTTATAACGCTAGTAAACGTTAATCTAGGCCTACCCCGTCCCCTAACACTTCCATCTACCGTTACAGCATCGCATCTCTTCACTACTGCCTCTGTTGGTCTCCGTTGAATATAACCAAACCATCTCAAACGATTCTCTCTCAACTTATCTTCTATCGGAGCTACTCCTACCCATTCACCGAAGTCACACTCATTCCTAATCATGTCCTGTCTAGTCTTACCACACATCCACCTTAGCATCTCATCTCAGCACACTCATCTTATCTACATGTTGTCTTGGTTGTCCCAACACTCGTCCCATACAACATAGCTGGTCTAATAGCCGTTCTATAAAACTTACCTTTTAGTTCTAGTGGGTATTCTTTATCGCACAATACCCCAGAGCACTTCTCCACTTACACCATCCCGCCTTAATCCTATGGGCCACATCTACATCAATCTCTCTCCCTGTTGTGATAATCGACCCTAAATAACGAAAATGTTCACTCTTAGGCGTTCTTGGTTCTCAATCTTCATTCTCCTCTGTTTTCATTGTTACTGTTACTAAATTTACACTCCATGTAACGCCCTCAAAATAATACCATTAAATCCATCAATAAGACATGATTTACATATAAACTAACCACATTTCTTTATTTCATTGAGTTTCATTACATAAGTATTACATGTTAACATGCAAAACAAAATGCCCTACGCTTACAGTCTTCCAAGTTTAACTCTTGGTTCAACAAAGGAGTCTAACTCGTTTACACATTAGCCCTTGGCTTTGAAATTACATGTAATACATCAAAAGTAAACGACAAAAACTATGCCCGCACTAGGCCTCCCAGCTATGTCCTTGGAGGTGGGCATGCTTCCTTACCTGAAAATATATCCCATATAGGGTGAAGCCACAGCCATTAGAAATACACTAACCAACCATGACAATGACTAAAACGCATTACGTCAATTGATAGTTGGTCAACACCGATAACAATCATAAATTATATATTTATGGTCAACGACTTACAAGTCCCAATTACTTTTCATTGTCCCCTATTTTCAACAGAAAGCATGCTAGCTCTATCATCATTTCCCACAGATATGTATAAAAAACTATATCGCATTCAAGATAAGCATAAAAAGCTATATCCACGTTCTCAACAGATATGTTATATTCAACAATATCCACAGATAAGTGCATAGCAAGCTTGATCACTTCGTTACAACAGATATGTATATCAACAATATCCACAGAAAGCATACAAGCTGTAATCCACATTCTACAACAGATATGTATGTCAACAATTATCCACAGATAGAGCATACAAGCTGTATCCACACGTTCACAAAGATAAGCATATGAGCTCTACTTCACTTCTCTTAGACAAGCATATGAGCTCTGTCTATGAGTACATCCCCAATCTCCTCCCAATACCTATCCCCGGTTTAGAGGTACATCCCCTATCTTCCCCTAACACCGCGGGTACATCCCCTATCTCCTTCCTCTACACATAACGTATATAAAGCACATGTGGGTTCTATATACAATCACACAATACACACAATTAATGTATTCTATCAACCGTCAAGTTCCAGACACATTCCATTGATTTAGTTTCCGTTTACCTAATCATCATGCATTGTCGTACAACAATACTCGACTATTCCTCCACCGAAGCCCAAGCAGTTATTTCTAAAACAGAAAATAAATGCACAAATGGATATTCAATCACACTTCATTCCTCCATTTCTCACAATTAAGTTATCCTACAATTAATTAAATAATGTAATTAGGTCATTTTCCATAATACCATTCAACCTTAGGTCCCATTTCATCAATTTGATTCACAATCAGTCCATTTTTATTCTATGCCAAAACATGCATCTTAGGTTTATTATGAATAAAACCCCAACCTGTGAAAATTACACAAAAGCCCCAAACTTTACAAGATTACCAAAACCAAGCCAACATCTCAAAATACCAAAATTTAAGACAAAACCCATAGAGAGGAGTAGGTTATCCCTACCTCAAATTCGGAGTCCCAAAGGAGAGACGACAAAACCCAACGTCTTCAAAACCCGAGATTCTTCAGATTAAAATGAAGCCTCGAAAACGATCAACAATTTGTAAAGGGCAAAGGTGAGTAAATCACTCCTACGTAGATAACAACTAGAGAGAAGTAGAGTCTAGATGAGAGGCTCAACAATGGTGATTTTGAAAAGTAAGAGAGAGAGAGAAAGTGAAAAAATGATTTAAAGAGTCACAAATTCGGGACTTTAAGCCCAGTCTCGCTCGAGCGTAAAAACACCCCGCGTCTAGGCGTCCACTCACAGGACTTCCGCTCGAGCGGCGCAACACCCCGCTCGAGCGCAGAATTGTCACTTCGCTCAGCACTTTTTCAGCAGGCCAGACCCGCTCGAGCTCCCAACCCTACGCTCGAGCGTACAACGCTGCACAGGAAAAAAATACGTGAAAGGGTGTAATCTGCGCTCGAGCGCAACATCCACCGCTCGATGCGTACAGGCCAGAATCTGGGCAACTATGTGGTTTGCTAACTTCAAAACCAACCTGAAACAAACCTGCCCAACACATTCCTATAACTCAAATACGAAGCTAAGTAAGGATGCAACACCAAGATAATAAACAACTACCAACATCCACCGACACATGTCCGGATCACGTATAACAAGGTAAACCCGGATCACTATAAACCTCCCCCCCTTAAAGAATTTCGTCCCCGAAATTAAGACACAAGTTTTCAAAAACAATTTTCCTCCATTTTAAACAATGTTACGATTTCTAACATTCAACAATCGACGCCATTACCGGTCATCCCATCCCTTAAACAG